TACATAAATACCTACCTATCTACCTACCTACCTACATACTGACCTACCGACTGACCAACCTACTGACTGATTGACCTACCTACCTACTTCAATGAATGAATGGATGGATTGATGGAGAATCCTGTTCTAATAAGTGTTGACCCGTGTTGCTTTAATTCAAATGCTATAATTATAAACTACAAATAATTCATGTTTATTCTGCCTTTTGAAATAAATTTTAAATACTTAAGTTATTTAATGAATTAATTTTAATGGTGACATTTCCCTTGTCCTGATTCAGTTAGTGTGTGTTGATTTCCAGGTGGAGAGCTTCATGGAGGCCAGACTGTGGAACAAGATATTCATATGGACACAAAACAAGGTTTCACTGCTCAAATCTGTCAGCATTTTTGAAAAGTGTTTGGTTTAATAAAAACGTTGATGTGTTTGTTTGTTTCTGTGTTCAGCTGGGCCTTCCTCTGGGCAGCATCAAGGCCACGGTGCTGATAGAAAACGTGTTAGCAGCATTTGAAATGGAGGAGATTCTTTACGAGCTGCGAGAACACTCAGCAGGACTCAACTGTGGGATCTGGGATTATTCAGCTTCTTTTGTCAACAAGTTGGGTGAGACAAATAATGTGGTCTTTCATATAAACACTATTTTTATATCACAGATTAACAACTAAAAAGCCCACTTTAGGAATTCAATTTATATCTAGATTCAAAGTCATTCAGTCACGTTCCTACTATCAAACAAATGTACGTCAAGATTTGTTGAAAAAGCTGAATCTGAGTTCTTGAAGCTTAAAACTATTGGAATAAAAGCTAAAAAAAATAGAAATACAGTATACAGACGCCACATTAATCCAAATCAAACAGCTTAAAGCATCAGTTGTCTGGATGGCGCCCTCTTGTGGTCACCCTGCGCCTGCACTCCCTGGTGTCTTATTGTGATTTATCTCCTGAAGGGTTCTACCTGTGTGTCCTGTTCTATGGAAGTTCCACCTGTGTGTCCTGTTCTATGGAAGTTCCACCTGTGTGTCCTGTTCTATGGAAGTTCCACCTGTGTGTCCTGTTCTATGGAAGTTCCACCTGTGTGTCCTGTTCTATGGAAGTGAGTCTCAATTTTCAAATGAAAATGGATTAATAGTAATGCTTTTCATTTCAAAGTCAAAACTGCATGTTTTGACTCATAAAGAAAATTAAAAATAAATCATCCAAACTGCATTTGCATTTTCTTCTCCAAGACTGCTCAATTTGTAAATTAATTAAAATGATAAATAAAATAATGTTTAACATTTAATTTGAAAAATATAACCCTGTTCAAATTTAAAGATTAAAATGAATTAGCAGAAATTCTTGTTCACTTCAAAATCAAAGCCGCATTTTTTGACTCATAAATGAAAATGCTAATAGATCATCCAAACTGTTTTCATTTTCATCTCAGCACTGCTCATTGTGTGACACAACTCCAGAGAAAACTAAGAGGAAATTGCTTTTTCATTTTCACGCCCCCGCCCCCGCAAAAAGTGTTCCATAAATCAATTAGAATTTGCAATTCCAAGCAGTGCAGGAGAGTAACGTCAGTGGCAGCTCTTCCCCCGCCTGCAGCCAGGTCCTACTTGCAGAGGAAGCTTTATTTTGAAAATGAAAATCATTTCTATTAATCCATGTTAATTTGAAAATTCAGACACTTTCACTTCCATACTGTCCAGGTGTGTGTGGTTGTGTCTTGTTATTCTCTGTATATAAGTCTGTGTCTGTGTGCTACTCATTGTCTGGGCATTGTCTGGTGAATCCTCCTGTGTTGCTGGTGTTTCAATGTACTTTCCTACGTGCTGTGACTTTAGCTGCCATGACAGCTCTTTATTTTGTATTATTCAAAGTATTTCTCATTTAACCATTTGCTCTCCGAGTCCTGCCTGCACCACTGGGTTCTGCTCCAAAACCATCACTTCTGACATCAGTGCAGTAGCTTAAAGCTAAAATGAGCAACATCGTAACCAAAAACTGAAACTAGCAAAATGATAGCTAAAAGCTAAACTAGTACACCCATAATTAAAGGCTTTAACTAGCAAAACAGCATCCAAGAAAAAAAAGCATGTTGAAGTAGATTTTAAAAAGCACAACAATTTTGAGGAACCTCAGAGCATGTCTACAAAAAAAAAAAAAAAAGTATTTAAGCTACAAAAGTCAAAGATAAAACCAGCTGAACGTTTTGTACCTGAATGGTAGTATACTGGGATAGTTAGAGGCTAGGTAGCACAGGTAGAGCTGTTGCTGCTCAGTGAGAAGGTTGCCGGATCAAATCCCCTACCGGGGACCTTTTTGGGTGGAGTTTGCATGTTCTCTCCGTGCTGCATGGGTTTTTTCCAGGTACTCCAGTTTCCTCCCACAGACCAAAAACATACATGTTAGGCTGATTGGTAACTCTGAATTGACCCTAGGTGTGAATGGTTGTCTCTATGTGTTCCTGTGATGGACTGGAGACCTGTCCAAGTGTCCCCCACCTCTTGCACAGTGACTGCTGGATATGAGCACCAGTGACACCCGCAACCGAGAAAGGAAGAGACGGGCAAAGATGAATGGATGATGGATCAGTAGAGGCCAAAAATCTTCTGACAGAAACTATAAAAAATACCATATTTTCTGCCGTACACATCGCTCCGCTCTATAAGTTGTATCAGTCCAAATATGTCTAATAAAGTGGAAACATCCATAAATACGTCACATCTATTATGCGTCACCGCTGACAACTCAGAAATGTGGCCCGGTGTTGTACCAAAAATTGATGGGCTGCCAAATGGCAGCTGCGGGAGCGTGCACGGGAGGACTTCAACAAGAATTTAACAAGATTAACATTTAAAAACAATTATTTGTTTGCTCAGAATTATAGTAAGGGTGTGTCTCAGTCTAACTTTTGCTTAATAAATGCACTTTGACGATCAAATCAGCTGCATTTCAAAACCCGATTCATGGAAGCGGGCATGCACAGAGGGATGAGTCGCTGCGCATTTCTTCGAAATTTAACAAGATAAGCACCTAAAACAATTGTTTGTCTGCTTGACATTATAGTAAAGGTGTGTCTCAGTTGAACTTTTACTTAATAAATGCACCTCAATGGTCAAATTATCTGCGTTTCGTCTGAGTGGCACAGTGAAATGATGCTGATTTGATGGTTGCTCCAGGAGAGCTGGACAAAGGTGGCAGGCTATGGCAAGCTGAATGTGTCATTAATAGCCACTTTTACCTATTACACAATACAACAATATGCCATACACCTCGACTGCCATCTAGTGGCTGAAAATGGTATATTTTCAGTCATAATGAATGAAAACAGTCGTATCTCAGATTGGTTTATAAATATGGAAAAAACAAATAAGTCGCTTCAGTGTAAAATCACAGGGCATGCAAATTATGCAAAAAAAAAATGCAACTTATAGGCCAAAAAATATGGTAAACATGAGTGTGAATGCTGATTATGGGAAACAAACTCTTTGAGCAGACTGTCTGGGGTTGGGAACAACACCCCCTCTGTTTTTAATCAGGTCACTGTTGACAGGTTGACTGTTTCATCACAACCAAGACTCATGTTCAGGCTGCTGTTGTTACACCATATTCATCCATCCATCCATCCATTTTCTTTACCCGCTTATTCCATTTTGGGTCACGGGGGTCGCTGGTGCCCATGTCCAGCAATCACTGTGCGAGGGGCGGGGTACACCCTGGACGGGTCGCAAGTCCATCACAGGGCCACATAGAGACAAACGAGACAAACAACCATTCACACTCTCACTCACACCTAGGGACAATTTAGAGTTACCAATCAGCCTAACATGCATGTTTTTGGTCTGTGGGAGGAAACCGGAGCACCCGGAGAAAACCCACGCATGCACGGAGAGAACATACAAACTCCACCCAGAAAGGCCCCTGGACCGGGGTTTGAACCAAGGACCTGCTCGCTGAGAGGCAGCAGCTCTACCAGTTGCGCCACCGTGCTGCCCTGTTACACCATATTGTTTCACATTATTGGTGTTAGTGTATATCTCAGATTCTTATTTACTGTTTCTTTTTATACTTTACATTTTTGCTATTTGGGGGTGTAACTGGGAGCCTGAGTCCATCATTTCATGTGAATCACAATAAACTTGACTTGAACTTGAAGTGTGTCTGACTTCCAGGTCACCGTGAGGACTTCCTGCTGCCTGACCGCAGCAAATACGTCAACATGGAGAAGCGCTTCCTGCGCAGCTACATGGACCTGCTGGTCCAGACGTGCCACCGTCGAGGGGCACTGGCCACAGGAGGCATGGCTGCTCTCCTGCTGCCCCCCAGCCTCAACCCAGACTCCTACAGGAGAGTGCTGGCTTCTGTCAAAAGGTGTTTGTGCTCTCACCTCCTGATGGATTCAGGCGACGTCAGAGCATGTCTGTTTGCTTGTGTGAATAGTGATCATTTGGTTGTCTAACCTGATTCAAGATGGCAGCAGAACAGCTTAGTGAACAAAACCATATCAGTAAATTTTAAAGATAGTCAGCTTAAAACAGACAGTAGCTGAGACTGATCCCTAACTTTTACTCTTTAATGAACCTTCCAGGAAATAATTATTGTACACACGTCTACATCTGATTATTATTTGGGCCAGTCCAATTCAAGATGGCCGCCACAGATAATCAACCTGAGCCGAAACAAAAATGGCTGTAGTGCAGTGAATTTTACGGATACCGAGCTAAAATTTGATGTAGTAGTAGCTGAGAGTCATCCACAACACGTGCACATAAAACAGACGCGGTTTCAAGATGTGACCACAACGGCTGAACCTCTGATTTCTCATCATCAGATCATCTTGAGTTAGAGTTGTGTTCAAATCCATCCACTGTTCTTTGACTATTAATCAGAGGTGGCAAGAGTACAGAAAACTTGTATTCAAGTACAAGTACTGACACTGCTTAAATTGTACTCAATTACAAGTAAAAGTACTGGTGTTATAAAAATAAAAGTACAAAGTACTCTTCTCAAGAACTACTCAGAGTATTAATTACTTTTTAGCCACTTGATGTTTTATTGCGTTGTCAATAGCAGCCATTCAGTTTGATTTACTGTATATAGTAAATATAAATATAGCTACATTCAAAGCACATTTCTCAGAAGCTCCGTCTTATTTTAGTACCAGGCAAACCGATGGCAGTGACAACATCTAAGATCTTTGCATATTTAGACAAACTAATAACTCACACATATGAACAATAAAAAAACATTATCATACAGGTAGTTGTAAAACCTCGTATACCACAACGTTTTTTGAGAATAGATGCTGAAGTCTTGAAGCTGCTATCACTGTAGAGCTCAAACACAGTTTGCATCTGGACGTTGTCTCCTGTTCACCCTCTGGACATGAAACATTCCTCCAGGACACTCGTCCTCAGTCTTTACCTCGTCATTTTCTCTGTGGACAGTGTTGTCCTCTGTCTCCATTTTGGCTTTTTCTCCAAATCTTCTCTCCATAAATGACTCTCTACTCCACAGAGTTGTCCTTTGATTACGTCAGGTAATTGGCATGTTCGTGATCTGAGAGCCTTATTGGCTACAAAGATGCAGACGAACGGTTTGAATGTTAACTCAAATCGCAGCCGTACTCGGTAGAAACTTCTGATTTTAAAAGTAGCAAAGTAGAAAACATGGTCTAAATTGTACTTAAGTATGAGTAAAATTACACACTTGAAAGAAATACTCATAAAAGTACAAGTACCCAAAAAATCTACTTAATTACAGTAATGTATTTGTTATGTGTTACTTCCACCGCTGCTATTAATGGCAATGTTTTAAAAATAAATCTTGTGATCAGTGGTCAAAGTTCAATAAATGACTCTCAGGTACTAACACACTTTAGCTCAAGCTCCATCTTATTAAAACCAATCGAGTTCAAGACATTTTAGTGTTTCTAAGGTCGTTGGCTGCAACGATCTGTTACCTTAAAGTAAGTGACTACAAAATGCTGTCAATGCAGATTTTATTATCGACGTGTGAAACGCAGAGCTATTAATAAACAGGTCTGAACCGTTCAGGGTCTTCAGAGAAGGCTTTAGAATGCAACACAAATAAATTCTTACATTTAAGCGCTTATTTAATATATACATTTATTTAAATAAATAATATATTTTCAATATAGATTTTCTTAATATTTTTGCTATTTTCTGTCATTTTCCATAAACTACTTTGCAGATGAGAAAGAAACTCTTTTTAACTTTATGAAAATATTCAGTCAGATTAAATAAAATTTGCATCTCCAGGCAAAAACACATTTGGAGTGTTAATTTTTAATTTTTGTCATTGGTTAGACTTCACGGTCAGCTGAGAAGGCTGGGCTCCATTAGAGACGCTCGAGAGTTTAAACTGACAGGAAAATGAACTAATCTCAGTGTCGATGCAGAGTGGGTGGGACACAGAGCTCGTTGGGAAGGCCTAGCAAAGTTTTATTTAAAATGAAAAATCCACACTTTATAGTTGCTCAAAGAAATGAAAATTAAACATCAAATTTAGGTTTACATTGATCATTTTCAGTATTACAGTTGCATTTGGTGGCACGGTGGATCAGTTGGTAGAGCTGTCGTCTCTCAGCAAGAAGGTTGCCAAATCGATTCCCAGCCGGGGCCTTTCTGGGTGGAGTTTGCATGTTCTCTCTGTGCTGCGTGGGTTTTCTCCGGGTACTCTGGTTTCCTCCCACAGACCAAAAACATGCATGTTAGGCTGATTGGTAATTCTAAATTGTCCCTAGGTGTGAGTGAGAGAGTGAATGTTTGTTTGTCTCATTTGTCTCTGTGTCCCTGTGATGGACTTGAGACCTGTCCAGGGTGTCCCCTGCCCCTCATACAGTGACTGCTGGACATAAGCACCAGTGACCCCCACTACCCAGAAAGGAAGAAATGGGTAAAAATAATCAATGGATGGATGGATGGATAGATGGAGGGATGGATGGATGGATGGATGGATGGTGGATGGATGGATGGATGGAAGGATGAATGGGTGGGTGGGTGGATGTATGGTGGAAGGATGGCTGGATGGTGGATGGATGGGGGATGGATGGATGGATGGATGGATGGATGGATGGATGGATGGATGGATGGATGGATGGATGG